ACAACTGGACTAAACCAAAGCTAAGAAGTTTCCTGAATCCAACCAAACACTTCAAGGGACAGAGTGGCAGGGGAAGGGGTGTGGGGACCATGGTTTCAGGGCACATCTAGGTCAGCTGGCATAACAAAGTTTATTAAGAAAATACGCTGCATCCCACTTTGGTGAGTGGCACCTGGGGACTTAAAAGCTAGCGAGCGGTCATCTAAGATACATCAATTAGTCTCAACCCACCTAGAGTAAAGGAGAACGAAGAACACCATAGACACAAGGAAAGTATTAGCCCTAGAGACAGAAAGGGTCACATAAACCAGAGACTTCATCAGACTGAGACCAGAAGAACCAGATGGTGCCCGGCTACCACCAAAGACCGCCCCGACAGGGAACACAACAGAGACCCCCTCACGGAGCAGGAGAAAAGTGGGGTGCAGAACTCAAATTCTAGTAAAAAGACCAGACTTAATGGTTTGATTGAGACTGGAGGGACTCTGGAAGACATGGTCCCTGGACTCTCTGTTAGCCCAAAACTAAAACCATTCCCAAGGCCAACTCTTCAGACAAAGATTAGATTGGACTATGGGACATAAAATGATACTTGTGAAGAATGTGCTTCTTAGCTCAAATAAATACATGAGACTAAACGGGCAGCTCCTGTCCAGAGGTGAGATGAGAAGGCAGAGAGGGTCAGGAGCTGGTTGAATGGACATGGGAAATCTGGGATGCAAAAGAAGAGTATGTGTCACAGTATAGGGAGAACAACAAGGGTCACATAACAATGTATGTATAAATTTTTGTATGAGAGACAAACTTGAATTGTAAACTTTCACTTAAAGCACAACAATAAAAAAAAAAAAAAGATTCAGCCATCTCAATCTCAGCCAGGTTTGGTTTTAGGGATCCTGATTTCTGTGATCCCTGTCCCAGGAAGCAAGAGAAACCTACCTTTCTCCTCTCTCCAAAATGCCTGTCTAGCTTCCCAGGGCGCCAAACCTGAACGTGTTATCATCTGCCACTAAACGTAGAAGTGATTTGGTAGAACAGGTCAGGAGGCTTTAGACCTCTCATCCTTTTTTTTTTTTTTCTTCTTCCTTGCATTCCACATTCTAAAATGGATTTTTAATTCCTACAGGCATCAACTATCTCAAGACTGTACCTTCTTGAATTACATGGTTAGTGACAAGAATGACCTGTAAGAAAATGGCTCCTAGGTTCTGAGGTGGGAAAAATGCTCCAAGAGAAGGCAGAAATCATGCCCTATTCAGCTAGCATAGTAGAGCTTTCTCTGAGCCAAAGTTCTCATGGGAAAGAGGAGTTTCTCTGGTAAAAAGGAGCAGGGCAAGACTTGGCCCCACATCTCTTCACTCTTGCAGTCCACCCTCACTCAAACTTAAACACAGGCCACTATTCTGAAACCCAGGCAAAAATTTAAAATATCTGAAAAGGGAGCTGCCCTTGTGTTCTTAACCCACATACTAAAGATCCATGTGACTCTGGACAGAATCCCCCTCACATGGCACATAAAGGAGAGAATGTTCCGTAGGAGGAATTACACACTCCTGCCGTGGCCATCACAAGCATACAGTTCTTTCTCCTATTTCAATCACATCCTCAAACATTTCCACAGGCCAACAAAGAGAGGGCGAGGACTCCAGCAGAAGCCCAGGGTGCATCCCCACAAGGGACTTTTCAATGCCCACCCTCAAGCTCCGGCTGAGGATGAGGTCAGCCTCTATTCTACAGGCCACGGAACAAGCTGACTTTGTGACCAGTTGGCCAGCTCCCTGTGGGGCCCTAAAGATGGAAAAGGATTGGTTTGGCCCACACAGACTTCATTCCTGAGGCAGGAAGCGCAGCCCAAGCATTTTTAAATACGTACATTCGGGGGACCGTCACAGGAACATATACACAAGCCTCTGTGATGCGTCAGGGCTGCCTCTTCCCTTGACTCTCAGACCCCATGTGACCCTGCACACTCACCACTTCTGGGCTCGAGTCCCTACACATCTCCCTCTGTTTCCATGATGACAGCCTCCTGCTCAAGAATCTATAATGGCTGCCCACTCACCAACAGAACAAGTTCCAACACCTAACCTTAGCACTGAAATTCCTGCAAGATTTGGTTCATTTTATCTACCCAACATCTCATCTCTGTTCTTCTACACATGCCTTATCCTTGCTCTTTTTACTTCTCTCTACCTATATAGCCTAGTAGCTAAGAACACATTCAGCCTGGGTTCAAACCTCAAGGTAGTGGTAGAATTTTCACCTTCCATGTAGGAGATTCAGGCTTGATTCCTGGCTAATGCACCTCATGTGCAGCCACAAACTATCTGTCAGTGGAGGCTTATGTGTTGTTATGATGCTGAACAGGTTTCAGCAGAGCTTCCAGACATATTAAGATGGACTTGTCTGTCAACTTGGCTGGGTCATGATTCCCAGTATTGTATGATTGTGTTATCTGATGTGATTTCCTTATGTGTTGTAAACTCTATTACTATAATGAGATTATATGTGATCTCCTTATGTGTTGTAAATTCTATCACTAGGATGAGGTTATACTGATGAGGTTGACAAGATTAGATAGTGTCTTAATGCAACCTCTTTTGAGATACAAAAGAGAGAAGTGAGCAGAGACACATAAGAACCTCATACCACCAAGAAAGTGTGCCAGGAGCAGAGCGCGTCCTTTGGACCTGAGGTTCCTGCACAGAGAAGCTCCCAGACCAAGGAAAGACAGATACATTACAAGGACCTTTCTCCAGAACCGACAGAGAGAGAAAGCCTTCTCCTGGAGCTAATGCCCTGAATTTGGACTTGTAGCCTACTGCACTGTGAGAGAATAAACTTCTCTTTGTTAAAGCCATCCACTTGTGGTGTTCCTGTTAGAGCAGCACTAGATGGCTAACTAGGAAAAAAGGCCTGGTGATCTACTTCCAAAAATCAGCCAAAACCCTACAGATTACAACATTCCGATCTGCAACCAATCATGGGGATGAAGCAGGACCAGGCAGCACTGGTTCCGTATGTGGTTGCCATGAGTCAAGGCCAACTCAATGACAGCTAACAACATTTAAGAGGAAGGGAATCAGTGGCAAACACCACAGAGATCGAGTAAAGCCTCGTTTAGACTAATGAGGAACAACCTGTTATTTCCTGATCTCCCCCACCTCTGAACTTCCACTCCATCCTCTCATAACTTCATCCATCCTCTCATAAGGCATTATTAATTTCTACCTTGTCTTATTTTCTTATTTCTTACCCAGCTTCACATACCAGGCCTTCTTCAGCCTCAGAAGATTTCACACCTTCTCTTCTGTACTATAAGCTCAATTTCTTATATGTCTGAATGTCTCATAGCTCCCAATACAGTGCCTTACCGAGTAGATATCCAATGTTTAAAGCAATTAGAGGAGAAGCTAAATTTCACATATTTTGACAATTAAACCCATTAAACCCACTGCCGTCAAGTCGATTCTGACTCAGAGTGACCCCATGGGACAGAGCAGAACTGTCCCATAGGGTTTCCAAAGCTATAAATATTTACAGAAGCAGACTGACACATCTTTCTCCTGTGGAGTGGCTGGTGGGTTCCAATTGTGGACCTTTCAGTTAGCAGTCCTGTTTTGATGATAGTTTCCAATATATTCAAGACCATGCAAACATAATTATAAAAGCATTACCCAACAGAAGCCTTCAAGGGCCTACTTTAACTAATGGATAAGAATTTATCAAGTGCTTTTAAGAAAATGGTTGTTCTGAAGCACTTGAGTGCATGTGGAATAGTAGTAGTTTCAGCCTAAGGCTGAACTGCTTCTCCTGATGCCATGTTTATTGTGCAGGGAATTCCATTAGAGTCGCGCTCCTGGCCTCTCTTCACCTCCTCATTCATCCTGCCCCCAGACGATGGGGTGCTGAGTGTTACGTTTGTGAGGAAAAATGGGATATGCATAGCTAGACTTTCCTCTCCCTCTTCCCATAGGAGAAGAGCTGTCCCCAGGAAATGTGTCTTCTGGGTCAGTAAGTCTGACTCATTCAGATATGAGTCACATCGTCTCACCTCAGTTTTAGTCTTATTTTCAATTGGTTCAGAACCTGGGAGTAGCAAAATAGTGTTATTTACTGAACTCCCTCGAAGACCCCAACACAATCCCCTATAATCTTGCTGATCAAGAGGCCTACTACAGAAAAAAGAGGGAAATCCCAGAAAGAGGTCCTATATGTAACTCCAACAGCTTCATATACCAGGCCTACTTCAGCACACATTTCCCAAGAAATGGCTGGAAATCCATCTCTCACCATTGGAGACATTCACTCTTTAACTATCTGTCCAGAAACGTGAAAATCATCCACCACCCACTTCCCACTATCTGTGGGATTGTCTCAGATTAATCAGACTTTCCAGATAGGCCAAATTAAATACTTATATAACACTTACTACTTGACATACTAGCAGCCATCCTATGATTGGGAAAAATACAAAGGCCTACAAGAAGAGGCTATATGAACTGGCAACAACCACAAACAAAGCTAAGACAAAACACACAATCCTCTGAACATTCTCTGCCAAAAGCATCAGATTACATCTATACTGTTTCTAAAGATCAATCCCTTGAATGGTGTACCTACTTGGCAGTAAAGCATTAGAGGCCTCAGAGGTTCAGAGAGAGCACGTAACCCAAAACTATGCTGAGGTGAGTGGGCACCAACCGACCAGTGGCCATCAAGTTGACTCTGACTCATGGCAACCTCATGTGTGTCAGAGTAGAACTGTGTTCCGTAGGGTTTTCAATGGCTGATTTTCCTGAAGCAAACCACTAGGTCCTTTTTCTGAGGTGCCTCTGGGTGAACTCAAACCTCCAACATTTGTTAGCAGCCAAGCACGTTAACCTTTTGCAACACCCAGGGACTCTTGCGGTGGGTGAGCACCATCTTCTAAAGCTAATGTTTCCCACTGCCCAAATCAAACATTAGAAATAGGAAGAGTTGAAGACAGGCAGACTTACGTGCTCTTTCATCTCGTTGGCCACAGTTCTTGACATCATGATGCAGCAGAGGATGACAACAAGGATGAAGTAGAGTGCATACATGAAGCGGGTGCTGCGAGACTGTCGGATCTTGGGGCAGCAGCCACAGCACAGGGAGCAGCCGGCAGTGCCACAGCAGCAGGCCAGCTACAGAATGAACACAAAACAGCCTCTTAGAGCTACTACTGCACACGATACTCACACACAGCTTCTGCAAGGTGGCCTTCCAAGCTACGAGATGTCCATTTTTCCAAGGCACCCGCAACGGAGCACACGGTAACAGGTTAGTATGTAAACAAAACTTTCACCAGAATCAGTCTGATATTATCTTCAGTGGTAAGCATTATGGCTTGGGAGATGTCCAGTGATTAAGCAAAAAAGGCATGGCTCATCTGAACCACTATCATCCTTACTCTTGGACAAAACAAAGATTTCTGGGATCAGCTAAGAGGGGGATAAAAAGGCAAAAAGTAGAAAAAGGACAAAGAGAGGTGGGAAAAACATAGAAAAACAAGGTGCTGAGCCCAAAATAGGGACTTGTCAAAATCCATGAGCCTAAGAATAAATTGTATAAACATCTAGGGACATGTTAGGGTGGGAAAGGCTATGCTTCCATCCGCTCGCCTTCACAAGAAATAATGAGATCATGTAACGCGAAGTTCAAAACGAATAGATTTCTCTTACACATACAATGTGTACATGATCGATTGTTGTTGTTGCTGTTAGCTACCATCAATTTGGCCCGATTCATGATGACCCCATGCTTCACAGAGTAGAACTGCTCCACAGGGTTTTCTTGGCTGTAATCTTTATGGAAGCAGATCATCAGGCCTTTCTTCTAGCAGAGCCTCTTAGTAGGCTTAAACCACCAACCTTTCATTAGCCACTCAGGCTCTTAATGGTCAATTAGGTTCACATTATATACGTATCTGTTTATTTCCCCCCTCTATGGAGATAAGTGGAACCCTGGTGGCGGAGTGGTTAAGTGCTACGTCTGCTAACCAAAAAGGTCAGCCGTTTGAATCCACTAGCTGCTCTTGAAAATCGAGGGGGCAGTTCTGCTCTGTCCTATAGGGTCAGTATGAGTCAGAATTGACAATTGGCAATGGGTTATAGAGATAAGAAAATGTTTCACTGAACTGTATATGTGAAGATTGCTGAAATGGCAAATGCTTTGTTAGATATATATTTACCACAATAAAAAGCAAATATAAAAAAATTTAAATGTTGATTCTGCTGTGGGAAAGTTCCACCATGGGAGGGAGGGAAAGGGACACATTAACTGCTTCTAAAATATTTATTTTTCCCACACAGAATAACTTTTATTTATCTCATTTGAATTTGAAATACAGTCAGACTGGTTGTCTACCATGAGGCTTAACAAGTTTAGGCTAATGAGTGGGATGTGGGCGCAGAGGAGCACAGAGTTCCTGCTGTAACACTCAAAGAACACACACCTATTCTTTGGGAAACTAAACCTTTAGCAGAAGCACAGAACAATAGGGCAGAATGGTTAAAAGCTCAGGCTCCAACTCAGCCTGCCTGGGTTTAGAGCCGGGCTCTGCCACTTTGCAACCATGAGCAAAGTTATTTGACCTTTTAACAGTAACTACAGACTCCTCATTTACAAAGTAGGGGTGAAACAGTACTTATGAGTGTGTGCGAGACAGACAATTCTGTATAGGGTGTCTTCCCCTTCCATTGAACAAGGGTATCTGCACATTAGTAGGCAATTCCTAAGGACAAAAATCTTCCAAGTGTAAAGGAATGAAAATACAATTTCCTCATGTGTCCCACACATAGCTCTTTAATTTCAATCTCCAAAGTGAAGAAACACGTACGAATCTGGCAAACAATTTCAGAAAAACCAGCTGTCCTAATATACACCATTCCTAGCTACTAGTTCTTAAGAAATACAATCAAACAGATATATATATTAAAAGATTTGTTTCTTGATGCATGTATAATAAGTAGTGTTCTACATAACAGGCAATCCTTTGGAGAAGTCATGGAATCACTTACTCTATAGTATAGTATTTGCTTTCCAACCCAAGATTTCAATTCACAACTGAAGAACTTGAAATATTAATGGGAAAAGCAAGGTCTGGAAACCAGAAAAATCTAAAACAGCTCTTAAAAGTATTTTATGTTAATAATAAAAATACAGCTTATATAAACACACACACACCAGGAACATGTCGCACATCCTAAGTAATAATGGGTCTAATTTAATTTTTTCTGCTTGCCAACTTGTGCTTATTGTGGCCTTCTTAGGATCTCTGTCCTTGATGGTTTCAATAAGATGCTTGTAAATTCCTTTTGTTTTGTTGTAGAGAACATGCATTTTATGGGCACCAGTACCTGTATCCTAGTGTTCCACGCCTTTCTGAGTCTTATCTATTAGCTCAGGAAAACACAGTAACTTGGCTACCTGAGATAGACTCATCTGACTCTTACGGTCTCTTTTATGCACCTCTCGGCACCTTCCCCACCACCAACCCCAGGCTCCATTTCTACTCTGCCTCCCTTTTTTCTTTCCACAGTTGATTCCCTCTTTTCCCTAATAGAAGTGAGGTTAAATCCATTCAAAATTGTACTGAAATTTCTCCAGCTGAAGAAAATAACAGGAAAGTCTATTTCTGAATAGGAGGAAATTCTGGTAGGGGGAACAGTACAATGGTGTACCACTCAGATCTCCCTTCAAGAGAACTTGGCTCATTTGGCTGCTGTAACACCACGACCATGCTCTTCCTGGTGGTTCCCAGCCAATGACTGAGCAGGATGAAGGTACTAGGGCCGGACCATTCCTGCCTGTCACAGGACTCCTCTAACAAGCAATTTTTGCACTGGTTGTGGGAATGGCTGAGACTTTTTCTGAGCTGCACCTTAATCTGAGGCTCTTCCTACCCAACCCTCCTTCCCCTCACTTTCCTCCCATATGTGACAGACCTGCATCACCACCTGATGGCTCTCCCCATCTATTCCTACTTCCTCTTCTCTTTATCTATCACAGGCATCTCCCCCAATAAATCCTTTATACATCTAATTCTACCTTGGTGTCCACAGCCTCGTGGAGGACCTACACTAACACACTTTGTGTTAGAATTGATTTTGGTTAAGCAAACAGGCGATTCTACAAAAGATACTACCATAAACTGAAAATAATAACTAAACCCATATGCATTAACACCATACTCTCTGTAAAACCTAACAATTCCGTCTCTCGATGATGATTTGGAAGGAAGCTCAGGACTATGCAGTGCTTCAGAACCATCAATTAGAAAGCCACACTGTAAACACCATTTACAGTGAGACAAGATCATACATATACAGGTACAAGGCAGGCAGGCTGTCTTGTCATGACACGATGTCATGACATGTAGCTATTTCCCAAGCTATTTCATCCACTTCATGGAACTGTCAGTGTTTGAGCCCTTTGTCATTCTGTGCTATTTCATCACTTCAAATTTTAGCTAATACTCTTTCTCCATCTTACGTTCAATTTTCCAAGCCATCTTCTTCAAAAACCTCTTCTTCACTCATGATTCCAGGCCACTGCTTTGTAAGATAAGTTATTATATTTGGGCTGGGCTGAGTTAACAGATAACAGAAGATCATAACACTACTGCTGGTGTGGTGTTTTTATGGGCCACCTTCCCTTACAAAAGGGGCCCTGGTGGTGCAGTGGTTAAAGCGACTGACTGTTAACCAAAAGGTTGGCAGTTAGAAACCACCAGTGGCTCTGTGGGAGAAAGACGTGGCAGTCTGCTTCCATAAAGATTTACAGCCTCTGTCTTAGTTATCTAGTGCTGCTGTAACAGAAATACCACAAATGGATAGCTTCAACAAACAGAAGTTTATTTGCTCACTGTCTAGGAGGCTAGAAGTCTGAATTCAAGGTGCAAGCTCCAGTGGAAGGCTTTCTCTCTCAGTCGGCTCTGGGCAAAGGTCCTTGTCATCACTCTTCTCCTGGTCAAGGAACTTCTCAGCACAGGGACCCCAGGTCCAAAGGATGTGCACTCCTGGCTTTTCTTGCTTGGTGGTAATGAGGTCCCTGTCTCTCTGCTGGCTTCTCTCTTTTATATCTCAAAAGAGACTGACTTAAGACACAACCTAATCTTGTAGATTGAGTCCTGCCTCATTAACATTAACTGCCTCAAATCCTGCCTCATTAACATTAGAGGTAGGATTTACAAGACACAGGAAAATCACATCAGATGACAAAATGGTGGACAATCACACAATACTGGGAATCATGGACTAGCCAAGTTGACACACATTTTTTGGGGGGGACACTGTTCAATCCGTAACAGCCTCAGAAACCCTACGGGGTCGCTATGAGTCGGAATCGACTCGAGGGCAGTGGGTTTGGGTTTTTGGTTTTCCTTTACAATTCATTCACTCATACTCTCTATCTACAATTTTACGGACTTCTTTCCACTCAAACCCTCAAATCATATACACACACACAATTCTCCCCTTCTGATTTAATTGGCTTTTCTCTGTGTTCTACCTCCTTTTTCCCCCCTCTGCCTCCCTTTTTTTTTTCCTTCCCACTGCCACCCTCATGACTTGCTGAACTCTTTAAGACTTATGGTGGACAAGGTCTTAGATAACCAGTCTTACAATATTTCCAATTCAAATGATAAAATATTTACCTCATGTGGGAAAAAAAATACCACATTTTTCGCAAATAACACACCCACAAAGAATGCACCCATATATAACACATACAGTGCCTAGGAAAATAATGAGCTAAAGGGTTGCGTGGTTGGCAAAAAAATATATAATGCACATGTTATCTGCATAAAAATACAGTATTTTAGAAGCAGTCAATATTGCCCATGATGGAACTTTTCCATAGCAAAAGCAACATTTAAACCTATTATCTCCAGAAACCCGGTAGTGTTGAGTCGATTCTGACTCATAGCAACCCTTAAAGGAGAGAGTATAACTGTCCCATGGGGTTTCCAAGGAGCATCTGGTGGATTCAAACTGCTGACCTTTTTTTAGCAGCCGTAGCTCTTAACCACTATGCCACCAGGGTAAAGAGGAGAAGTTAACAGATACATATATAATGTGAAACTAATTGGTCATTTAAAAGTAGGCAAATAGTGACAGAAGAGATGTGATCATGCAAAATGTAAAAATAAGTCATATTGGTTTAATTATTCACTATTGTATCATTGTATGAATCTGATTTTTCAAACTTAACTTACTTTTCATTATCACTCTATATAATGCTATGGTATCAAAATACATATATATATATACACATATATATGTTTATGTATACGTGTGTGTATAAATATGTGTGTGTGTGTCCTACACTGAATACTGCACTTCAACAGCCTCTCTCTACTAGCCCCAAAATGACTCAAAGTAAGCTATGCCAACAAGCACATCATCTTAAGTTGAACATTGACAGATACACCAGGAAGAAATTCAAAACAACTTGCATAAAAGAAATGTCATGCTAGCATCTAAGAAAATCTCACAGCTCTGCTGACTTACCCACTTACTTCTATGAAGACCTGGGTTCAAGTCCAGCCCCTGCAACTTATTACCTTTATTACTCTGAGCATGGCACTGACTTTGATCTTCACCTTCAAAACTGGAAAAATTAATTCCTGGACAGCCTAAATTACAGGGCTGATCCAAGCTTCGAGGCGAGAGCCAACATCTTATGCTCCTGGCTCCAGAGGGCCTAACCTAGTACTTGAGGTGTCCTAAACCTTTTATTGAAGTCAGGGTATAAAAAGCATATAATGAACAATGGCTCAATAAATGGACACTGAGAATGAATGTTACTGTTGTTAAATGCCGTTGAGTTGACTCCAATTCAGCGACCCTCTGTACAACAAAACAAAACACCACCCGGTCCTGTGCCATCCTCACAATCATTGCTATTTTTGATCCCACTGTTGCAGCCACTGTGTCAATCTATTTCATTGAGGGTCTCCCTTTTTTCCACTGATGCCCTACTTTACCAAGCATGAGTCTCACCATTTTCGCTTCTAAGGAGCATTCTGGCTTCTTCCAAGACAGACTTGTTCATTCTTCTGGCAGTCCATAGTATATTAAATATTCTTCATCAACACCATAATTCATAGGCATCACTTCTTCTTTGGTCTTCCTTATTCACTGTCCAGCTTTTGCATGCATATGAGGTGACTGAAAATACCATGGCTTGGGTCAGGTGCACTTTAGTCCTCAAGGTGACATCTTTGCTTTTTAACACTTTAAAGAGGTCTTTTGCAGCAGATTTCCCCAATTCAATAGTCGTTTGATTTTTTCTTTTAATTATTATTATTTTTTATTGTTTACTTTAGATGAAGGTTTACAGAACAAATCAGCTTCTCATTAAACAATTAGTACACATATTGTTTCATGACGCTGGTTAACAACCCCACCACATGTCAACATTCTCCCTTCTCAACCCTGGGGTCCCTATTACCAGCTTTCCTGTCTCCTCTGCCTTCTAGCCCTTGCCCCTGGGCTGATGTGCCCCTTTAGTCTTGTTTTGTTTCATATGCCTGTCTAATCTTTGGCTGAAGGGTGAACCTCAGGAGTGACTTCATTAGTGAGCTAAAACAGTGTCTGGGGAGCATACTCTCAAGATTTCTCCAGTCTCTGTCAGGCCAGAAAGCCTGGTCTTTTTTTGTGAGTTAGAATTTTGTTCTACATATTTTTCTCCAGCTCTGTCTGGGACCCTCTATTGGGATCCCTGTCAGAGCAGTCGGTGGTGGTAATGGGCACCATCTAGTTGTGCTGGACTCAGTCTGGTGGAGGCTGTGGTAGTTGTGGTCCATTAGTCCATTAGTCCTTTGGACTGATCTTTCCCTTGTGTCTTTAGTTTTCTTCATTCTCCCAGCGGAGTATCTTAGACAGCCACTCACAAGCTTTTAAGACCCTAGATGTTACTCACCAAAGTTCATTTGATTTCTTGACTGCTGCTTCCATGGGCGATGACTGTGGATCCAATTAAAATGAAATCCTTGACAACTATAAAATGGTGTAGGGGAAGCATCTGACCTCCTCTAACTTCACAAGCGGGACAGAGGATTAAGATCAACAGCCCAAGGCTGATTCCTATGAGAGGGAGGTCAGACATGCCTCCTCTCTCCACCATCTTTACCAATTCTGACACAAACCGTCCCTCCCACGGCACTCTCTACTTCTCTATGAGTTTGACAATTCATTGCAATGGTCACATAGAACTCACAGACAATACTCACTATTATCGGGTTTACTAGGGAAGTAATAGGTTACAATTCAAGTTCAGGAACATCAGGATACAGTTCTTCAATCAGGACAGCCTCTTCTCAGCTGTGCCTGCAGGCACGTCCCTCTCTGGCCCCTTGGCCTCTGTTCTGCTCGGACAAGTGTTACAAAGCTCTTTTAGCTCCGCTGATAAGTGCCGAGAGAAATCCTACTCCACCAGTAAGCCTAGGCCCAAAGGTGCTCAGCTCTAGCTTCGTGGGTCGGCAAACCTAGCTCCACCAAGTGCCGGGAGACACCCTAGTCTGCCAGCAAGACTCCTACCTGAAGGCCCTCAGCATTCTCGCTCCATGGGCTGGGAAGCCCACCATGCCGTCTCCCACTGCTCCTGCCAATCTCCTGGTTCTGCTGCCTCTGCTGCTGCTGTTTCCCTGCTGCTGATTCTCGTCATCTTGCCAACTGACCAATCCCTGTGGTGTTACTACAGCTTTCTCTCTGTCTCCTGGGCCTAGGAAGGTCTCAGCACAGAGATCCCAGATCCAAAGGATACGCTCCACTCGTGGCTCTTCTTCCTTGGTGGTGGTGAGATCTTCTCTTTCTGCCTCTGGGATGGCTCTCATTTTAAGCCTAGCAGAATGGCAAAACTGACCAATCCCTTTGGTGGACCACAATTACCTTATGTGCACAGTCCTACCAATCACTTGAGTGGAAGTTACAAGACCGTGGCAAGAAAAGCCATCCATATAAATGTTATCCATCATACCACAATTACTTCGGTGTTTTCTCCATTTATCATGACGTTGCTTTTTGGTCCACTTGTGAGGATTTTTGTTTTCTTCATGTTGAGGTGTAATCCATACTGAAGGCTGTGACCTTTGATCTTCATCAGTAATTGCTTCAAGTCCTCTTCACTTTCAGCAAGCAAGGTTGTGTCGTCTGCTTAACACAGGCTGTTAATGAGTCTTCCTCCAATCCTAATGCCCTGTTCTTCCTCATATAGTCCACCTTCTCTGATTATCTGCTCACAGACTGAATAAGTATGGTGAAAGGATGCAATCCTGACACACACCTTTTCTGACTTTAAACCAAGCAGTATCCCCTTGTTCTGTTCGAATGACTGCCTCTTAGTCTATGAATGAATAATGTATAATAAAGTCCCAAGGACAACATTCCTCAAACAGAGACAGGCTGCCAACCCCACTCCACAGGACTAAATTCACAGTCACAGTTTGCACTCTGAATTGCTCACACTGGCATTACATTGTAAAGAGTATCAATGGCTTTAATTTGGAGATACTGCACAAAGAGACTCTACTTTTCCACAATAAATTATGTACACTTTTTGGAAGATAAGCTGTATACTCACTCCTCACTTATCAACATGGTTAGGTTCCAAAGACCAGGTCATTATGCAAAAATCAACATGATGCAAAAATGGATGACCACGTCAAATCACAAAATGGAGAATGACATCATTACATAATCGCCAAATTACATCATTACATAACTGGCAAACCACTGAGAATCATGGCTCAGCCAAGCTGATACATAACCATAGTCACCACAGCCAGGTTACTCTCACCTCACACCTTGGTGTTCATCACTGCCAGACGTATGTCGTGAATGCACCAAATAGTCGGACAGCAGAATTTTTACTACTGCCATAAATGCGAAATGTCAGATAACGAGACAGTTGATAAGTGAAGAGTTATTGTTGTTGTTAGGTGCCATCAAGTTGGTTCTGACTCATAGTAACTCCATGTACAACAGAACGAAACATTGCCTGGTCCTGCGCCATTCTCACAATCGTTGTTATGCTTGAGCCCATTGTTGCAGCCACTGTGTCAGTCCATCTCGCTGAGGATCTTCCTCAACACTGAGGAGTAGATGTATTCATTTAACATAATCTTGCAATTGTTCTTGAAGTTCATCCTTCAGATATCATACAAAGGCACACAGATTTAGGTAGAAGAATGTTTATTACAAACACTGCCAACACCTTATTCTCCAGCTACAGGGGGCTGATTAAATGAATTATGGGCTATCTATATAATGGAATATTGTTTAAAAGAGTGGGCCTAGATGTGGGGAGGAAAAAGAGACATCTTATTTCTCACTGTTCTGCTCTCTTGTTTGGATTTTTACCATGTGTACATATTACTTTTATGATTAAGAAAAAAAAAAGAAAGAAAAGCAAAAACTATTTTTTTAAAAGTTTGAAGATACTGATATAAAAGCATCTTGCAAATGTGGTATTTATTATCTGGTTGTTCTTTCTGAAGAACCTCTCCCTCCCGCAAACATAGTGGAAAGGAAAAATCTTCCACTCAGAGACCCTTGCATCCTCCTCACAGCTGATTGCAACAACATGAATAGCAAAGGCTTTTTTAAATAGAAGGTGCTTTATCGATGCCAGGAAAAGGGGTCATAATGAAAGTTAAGTCAGTTGTTTGCTACTACCTATAGCTGGGCTGGCCCTGGGTGTTCCTTTTCTTCTCTATCCAAGGATCACCCCCACTTACCCATATACATGCCACAATAAATACATAAATATCAGTCTACCCCTCTGTCCTCCTCACTGGTCTTGGGCACAGACTGTCTTTCCTAGGACTGATCCCAGTTGTCTGAGGAAATGCTTACAAAAACATGAGCTAGGGCTGGTAGTAACTTCCCAGTTCTTCAGTTAAATTAAAAAGCACAATGTCTTTATCATCTATAACTCCCAGCTGGTAATACACCAACTGGAAATAGCAAAGAATCAAGAGGAAAGCCAAACAGATATCACAGATCAGTGTACAAAATACCTCTAAATACTATATACACGTGTGCGCGCACGTGCACACACACACACACACACACACACACACATACCATGTACCTTACTCTCCTTCCCTCAAGCCTTAACACAATTCTAACAGGCTTGGCTACCAGGTTCTTAGACCTACAGTGAATAGGAGACAAACTGGTGGGAGGAGCACAGGTCCCAAATCCAAGAACAAGAGGACCTAGATTCTAAGTCTTTGTGGCTCTGGGTAAGAGACCGTCCTTCTCTGGGTCTTCTTTACATGTAAATTGAAGGAGCCCGGGTGTATGATGAATGGTAGGTAAACAGGTTTCACCTCACATGCAATACCCAACTAATTGGCAGTGGCTGCCTGGAATGCTGTGTTAAGGTGGATTCTAAGGCTGAACCTACCAGGTGCTCCATAGGAGAAAAATGTGGCACTCTGTGTCCCTAAATATTTACAGCCTTGGAAACCCTACGGTGCAGTTCTATTCTGTCCTATAAGGTCGCTATGAGTCGGAATTGACTTGAAGGCAGTGGGTTTGGTTTTTGGTTTTGAAAGCTGAATGTCTCAGCAGGGAAAATATAATGGTGCATACTATCTGCCATAAGCATGGAAACAGTGTGGTGGCATCCATGCCACATTCTTGTCAACCATGTAAAAGCTGATCTGACATTCCTACCAGCCCTAAAATCTTTAAATTTTGGAGGAAAAGCAAGCTGCAATAGGCTTAACTCCTTGAGTTAACCCCAAGGAGGCCAGAAGAGAGAAAACTATCAAAAAAGAGAAGAGGCCATCTGGCAAGATGGCAGTGTGAGCAGGTCCATGGTCCTGACTCCCTCCCCACCCCCAACACAAACACAATCATCAAGCAAAGCAACTAGAAATCTGTTAACTCTGTAAGAACTCTGAAAAGCTAACAGAAGGTTGCAGCAATTAAGCATACACAGAAACCAGAAAAAGGTGACTTTTAAAAACTAGGAAAACTTTTTTCCCTACTGTTTCCACCCCTCTACCTCTCAGCTTGGTGGCAGCACACGCTACGGCTGCAGCTGTGGCAGAGGCGGACCATGGTCCACATTCTCAGAGAGAGAGACCATCTCTGGCTCTACAACTAGCAGGGAAGACGTTGCTGGTGTCTGTACTGATCTGTCTGGGCCTGCCTGAAGGAATGAAGCCAAGGTTTGGCCTGACTCAGAGCTCATACAAGGATGGGGGAGAGAGCAGTGAACAATGACTGAAGGCCGTGACCACCCTTAATCAATCACATGGAGACTAAATGATGCAACTGAAACAATTAATTCCTATGAACTGAAACTAGAGTGAGAGTTCCTTGCTTTCGAAAGCACTGTATATATGGGGTAATTGAGAAAGCCACACATATGCTCAGAGCTAATGCATTGTAATATTCTAATATCCCAGCTTCAACAAAAGATTATGCAAGGCATACAAAGAAACTGGAAAGACGACCCGTTCGAAACTGTAAGACAAAGGGTGAGAAATCATCTCCAGGGATGCTGGGATGATGGATAGGCTAGAACATTTTAAAACAAAAGTATTAAACATGCTCAAAAAACTTAAGGGAAACAGGGACAAAGAACTAAAGGAAATCAGGAAAATGATACATGTACAAAACAAGAAATAAAGAGGTTGACACTATAAAGAGGAACCCGGCAGAATTACTAGCAATGAAAAATACAATAATTGAAATGAATGGAAGGGTTCAACAGCAGATTTGAGCTGGCAGAAGAAAAAAATCAGCAAACTAGAGAAAGCAATCTAAATTACTGAGTCTGAAGAGCAAAAAGAAAAAAAGAATGAAGAAAAGTGAGTAAAGCCTAATAGAATTGTGGGATACCATCAAGCAAACCAACATACACATCGTAGGAATCCCAGAAGGACATGAAAGGGAGAGAAAGAACATCTGAAGAAATAAAGGCAGAAAACTTTCCAACTTTGACAAAGGACATGAATCTACAAATTCAAAAAGCTCAATGATCTCCAAGTAAGATAAATCCAAAGACACCCACACTGAGACACATTATATCAAACCAGACCTGTCCTACACGAAATGCTAAAGGGAGTCCTTCAGATAGAAAAAAGGAGCCAAAGCTGTATGTTAAAAAAGAAAGATCTCTGATAAAGGCAATCTCATGGGCAAATACAAGGGCCAGTTTTGTGGAATTTTTGGTCTGTAACTCCAGTAGTTGTGTGCTACATGATTCAAAATGAGAAATTCATAAAATATAATATAAATGTATGTTATTGGGCACGTAATGTATAAAGATGTAATTTATGATAACATAAAAGAGGGGGAGGAGTATAGTAATAAAGTTTTTGTATGTTACTGAAGTTAAGTTGGTATCAATTTAAACTAGGGTGCTATAAATTTAAGATGTTAAATATAATCCTCATGGTAACCACAAAGAAAATATCTAAAAAATATGCACAAAAGGAAAAATAAAGGGAATCAAAAAGGTTCACTACAAAATATCAACTAAACATAAACAATGGCAGTATTGGAGGAAATGAGAAACCAATAAAAATATAAGCAAAGCAAGAACTAAGCAGCAGAGCAGTTGAAAGCCCTTCAAGTACCCTACAAGTAATATAAGCATCACTGTATTTGCTGCATGGTCTATGTTCCACGTGGTATTATATCACACATAGTAGTGGGGCAATTCACGTTCACAAAGACAGCCCAGAACATCACATTAATTTGTGTTCCTTTTGCTTCACTTAGAAGTGTAGGACACTTCAGTCACAAAAATGAGCCAAAATGTGGGTCACATTTTATAGTCTCAGTACTTTAGTTTTAGGGAGAATAAACCTGTCAGCAATGTGGAAAACACCCATTCAGAAAGACATTCCTTGCAGGTTCTGGACAGCAAAATTGGCTTTGGTGTGCTGGAAGTCCAAAATTTAAACGGAAGGAAATCTTCAAATCTGACACCACCCTTCACTCAGTCCCTTTTTCCTGACTTTTAAAAATACAGAAACCCTAGCAGAACTGAGGAAAGACAGAGGAATTTTGGTTAACTACAATAATTATAATACCATTCTTTCATAAATGACACCGGAAGAGGGGTGCTGGGTGGGGGGGTGTTAAGGAAGTTCCTCAAAACTCAAGGAAGTCGTTAAGGAAGTTAGAACCAGAACTCAGGTGTTCCTGGACATTCTGAGGGAGTTATAATATCAAGGAAATAGAAACATTAAAGACATAAAACTGAATTTAATTTTTTTTTATTTTAAAGTAGATAGATTTCCACACCTTTCAGTTACACACAATACTACTCATACTGTGTTAGGACCTGCTTTCCTTTCTTCTCTTGAGGCTTTAGGATTACCTATGAATCACCTGTGGTCTGCACCGAGGAAATGAACAATTTATTCAGGACCCCACAACCAACATTTTGCAGTTCATTCTCTCCATCCTAAGCTCAGAAATATAGCTTCCCATTGAGTTTATACAGACTTTTTTTTCCTACTACAAAGACAGGGCAGTGGTGATGGTGGGAGAATAGTAATGGTAGTGGTGGTAAATAGCAACTAACATTCATTAAACTGTTGCCACCATGGTGCCAGGTATTGTCCCTACTGGTAACTATGGAATAGAATGATGCGACTTGAAGTCTAGAACAAGACACACAATTATTCTGCTCAATAAAGGAGTATCTCACTGTCCAACTAGTGTAGTTGCAGGCAGTCTCTAATTCATAAGATGACTGTTTTAGAAAACTCAACACTTATTAAACGTGTTGGTAAGTCTGTTTAGGGGTTACAGTGGATTTCTCCCAAACAAAAGAATATAGGGTAACTTTAACGTTTACTTAATCCATAATAGGGGCAGTATTGGTAGAATTCTCACCTTTCATGCAAGAGACCTGGGTTTGATTTCCAGCCATCGCACCGCATATACAGTGGAGGCTTGAATGTTGCTATGATGCTGAACAGGTTTCAGTGGAGCTTCTAG